CAACCATGATGGTCATGTCAGGCTGCTGTCCTTTTCTTCTGCAATCTGATATGTAGGAGGAAGTCAAACACACATGTGCAAAGAAGCACAGAAAACAACAACAACAAAAACACTCAAATGCAGCAGACTGAGCAGAGTCAATCTCAAAGATCACAGAATGGAGATATGCACAGAGAAACTACAACATCAGGCATCTTCACAACACACAGGTTAAATACAAGTCTGACAGTGAAGCACAAAGAGGGACAAGAACTACTGCTGTAAAAACAGCACCAAAAAGAATGAGGACAAAAACATAAAGCCGTTTCAACTGAACATACTTTTACCTAGAGTGAAACTTACTGCAGGCAGGCAAAGGTTAAATGGCGCCACTGTGTTACTGTACCATTTTTGATTACTATTATCAAAACCTAAAAAGAAAATATAACTTATCCAAGTGTTTCCTATTACCAGTGTACACCTTATGTATCAGTGCTTTACAACTCCACTGCATCTCCACTTCAAAAACGCTGCAATACAGAAAAAGTGCCGCACTGATGCATTTGTAGAACCACGTCTTTGAGCATGTACAGTAAACTTACAGTACCTGACCCACAGTTACTCTGTAACTGAGACCTGGGAGAAATACCTCCCTCTTTAGCAACTTAATGCTTCACTGTGTTCACCAGCTGGTCGCTACCTGTGCCTGTCAGCTTTTTGGTTAAAATGGGGGTTTAGAGCTTTTTAAACAAATTGCGTGATAACTCTGAGTGCTTCAGATTCACACAGTAATTCAAAGACACACCATAAGGGTTAGGGTTTTCTGTATTAACGCTATTTTCACCACTCCCGATACTGAGATTAAAACAAACAAGGGATTGCCTCTATTCACAGCTGGTGCTTGTCAAACTGTCGGTCCTGGATTAGTTTATTCATCTATGCTATAGACCTTCATTGTTGTTGAAGAACAATTAAAAATGCATCAGGGAAACACACCACTGCACAGGGTGACATATTTCCTCATTACAAAAGACAAGACCCTTTTATTTGGTAAGACTATCCAGACATCCCTTGACTCTTGCTTACTTCAGATACTGTAAAAAAAAAAAAAAAAAAAAAAAAAAAAAAAAAAAAAAAAACACATGGCTGTCTGCAGCCTCTTGGGCAGCATTTAAAAAAAAAAATTAGGGTCTTGTGTTTTGTAATGTTTTTAATCAGTTTTATCAGTTTTGAAAAACAATGATGGTCTATGACACAGACAAATAAGGTAATCCAGGGCTGACAGATATTAACTGTGAGCACAAGCAATTCATTGCTGGTTTTAGTCTTTGTATGGGGAGTGTTTAAAATACTATGAAAAATGACTGACCTTATCCTTTAAATACGTTCAGTAAGTCAATCTTTCTTTGCCAGTGAGGTTTCTGATTGGACTTTACTAACCACCACTAAGCCTTCGATTTCAAAATCTTGGGAGGGAAAAAAAAAAAAAAAAAAAAAAAAAGCAAACATCTAATTGTTTTTGCATCTCTGTGTCACGCAACGATTATGTGGACATAATCCGGTATTTGTGCCATAAATTCCAATTATTCTTTTCACATGTGTAATATTACTACACTACCTAAGGCAATATTGGCACTTACGGGCTAAACAGAGCTATGTTTCATTTGACTATTCTTAGCTTAGAATATAGGATACAGAAGACAGAGAAGCAGGGATCCGTTTTCTAGGCAATCAACCACATGCACAGCTGAGGTGTCCAGTTGCATGGGAAAGACAATACAATGCATGAAAACACGTATCAGTCTCATAGTATCAGTGAGAACGGTGTGCAGGTGCACTGCTGAACTGTTCTCCTCCTCCTCCTCAGGCATCAGGTATTAAGTTCCACATTAAAACCCACCACTGCTCTTTGAACAGAAAGGTGACAGTGGATGACACACATCCCAGCCTTAATGCAGCACTCAGCACACAGATTACTGCGTGGCCTTTTACCCCTACAATTAACCCAAACACCCCACTGTTAGATGCACACAGACATCTCTTCTTGTCTACCCTTCTCATATCCTTCCTCCCCCATATTTCCTCTATAATACTCTCCTGCTTGTGGTTGTCCTTTGACATCACCCTTGAAACGCATATCCTCAAGGGCAGAATGAATGAAACTAAATTAAAGAAAGAGGCCAGGGCTGATGAATGGAGACAGATAGATGACATTATGACAAATGGGAGAATGAGAAATAAAAAGGAATAAGAGGCGGGAGCAGAGGGAGGACAAGGTATTGTTTGTCGCCAGTGGTCAAAAGAGGCGTGCAGCTGCTGGGGGATCACAGCAGTGAAAAGACGGAAGAGACCCTGCTGTGTACCCCTGACCTCCGAAACTGGGTTAAGAGGTTAGAGACACAGAAAGAGGCTCAGATAACAAAGTCCCTCAACACCTCTGCTGACACACACTGTCTAGCTCCCTCACAGACACAGATCTATAAATACAGTGTGCTATCAGCAGCCCTGTTTTACCGCACCTAAGCATTGCCCCACATTCACATCATACTGCTCATACAAGAAAACACAGTTGCCGAGGTCCTAATAATAACACTGATTCAATGAAAAACCAAGTCTATAGATCTGTTAAGTGAACAATAACTTCTGTTTCTCCATGAATTGATCCCTGCAGCCTGACCTATTGCACATCAAAAAGAGGCATACAAATATTGATATGTCTCCATCCTCAGTGGTGCCCACTGAGTGACTTGAATACACAGGGAGGTAAATAAATGCAACTCAAATATTCAGCCAATAACTGGTTTGATTGCACTTTGACCCTGAGAGGGAGGTCAGCCATGTACAGTAGTGGACAAAGGCATGAAGTTACAGCTGTGCCCTCAGTGCTGTCTGGTCTGCTGGGTGGATCTGTACATGTCACTGGGAGATAAAAAGAAATAGTAGAAGAGAGAGCCACTCACAAACCCAGCGAAAACTGTGGGTGTGTTATTGAAACAGCTCTGGGTAAGGGAAGAATAGGTGTGAAGGAGGTACTGTATGTCACTGTGGGTGTGTGAGTGAGTTTAAGACAAAGATGAATGGGAGAGCTTGGTTGTCCTCGGCCAGAACAGGTGGGACTCTGTGTGACTTTGGAGTGCAGCATTTCCTCTCACACTCCTTCCAAAGGGCACACAGATCATGGACAGGTTCTGATTATTATTTTTTATTTGTGATTTATTTTGGGATGTAACAATACCAAAAAGTCAAGGTACGATATTTTTGTGATAAAAAGTCCATGATGCAATATATGATATTTAAAATGAAGAAAAAAAAGATGAAAACATCCTTTAATAAATAACATCTTTTTTGTATAATGTATATAAAAGATAATGCAGCAGCCAGTAGTAGTCAGTTTATGAGATAAAATAAAATATTGCAGCAGCTGGAGCTTGTAAATAAAACAAGTCATACTCACAGTGGAACATCAACGTTTTAGTGCCCCTTCAGCAACTTTAAAGGGCCTATGGCATGGCTTTCTGTCAGGTTCTGGCTCTGGCCTCCCTCACCTTTCCTACTGTCTCTTGCCCATTAACACTAATCACGTTCACCTGTTCCTCACTCCCTTATCACCAGCTGCACTTGATTAGGTTACTCACTATATTACCCGGTTTCACTCCTCAGTCACTTGCCAGTTCGTTCTTGTCTCTAGGCCATTTTTTTCTCCCTGCTGTCTCGTGTTTTTTTTTTGTATATTATTGTTCCCTAGCCAGCTACTGTTTTGTGTTCTCCCCATGGACTGTCCCTCCGGACCGTGGCTCCACTCTCCCCTCCTAGGCAGGTCAATGCTCAGTCGCCTATCTGTTCTACTATTGTCATCATCTCTCTGTCTCCACCTTCAGTAGCCATCATCACCACCGACCAGCCCAGGAGTGACCCAGCCTACGCAGCTCGGCCCAGCTCTCCATCTCCTCACCTCCTACTGTTGGTCAACACCCGGCTACTACTCATCGACAGGACTACGCACTATTTCCCTCTGTGCATTTTGTTATTTCTCCTCATCACTGTACATAATAAATCACTGCTTGCATCGAAGTCGGCTACCTGGGTCCGCCTCTTTCTCATTCGCTCACTGACAGGTGCGAACGGCACATAACACTTTCCTTGTTTTCTAACTTATCTATAATGTCACAACGGTGAATTATCATCTCAGACGTGACCTAAAGCTAAAAAAAATGAGGTGTACATATGTTCTAGTATTTCTATGTAGAAGCTACTCAGTTTATATATGTCTCACAAACTCTCGCTCATGAAACCTTTTTCTAAAAAAAAAAGTGGATTTCCTTGAATGGGTATAATCTCCAGGCAGTTGCACATTCATGTGACCTTGCCTGACATCCATGCGGTTTTGTGGATATATTTTACCTCCTGCTGCTGCACTGAGAACAGAGGATGCGGAGAAAAATACAGGGCCTGAGGTTACTAAGTGGTTGGTTTTGAAAATGCTTGTCCAGTTTGTTTGCCCATTTCTATCAAGTGTTGCGCACAGTTGTGTCCACAAATGTCTTAGCCCTAAACAGTGTTGGTATTTTCTTCATCTGGCGATATTTACAAATTGCTCAGCATTTGTCATTTTCCTTTCTGCCCGTGTCATTTCTTGAAACAGGAAAACTGAAATGCTGCCACACAATAGCTTGAAAAGTCGATGATAGAACATCTGCTATGACAGTTTCAAATTCTGCAACCTAAATGTAAAGATACTAGCCAAATAACCATATGTAGATACTGTCACAGTCCCACGACATTATTGAGGCATTTTTCTATCACAGTATTGCAAAATTACAAATACTGTTACATCCCTAGTGATTACAAATTGGCAGGTTTATTGGCTGACTATGATTGGTTGCTGATTGATTGATGAGAATTCCCTGAATTCATCTGCTGTGTACAGTAAATACTGACTACTTTTAACAATTATAAAACTGACACGGGTGGTTTATCTGTACATTGACAGTTTGTCTGCATGCACATGCTTAGAGACTTACCAGTGAGGTTTGTGCGTGCACTGTAGGATCCAAGGTATCGCCCATCTGTGTTGGGTGTGTAACACTCAAACAGACCCTGGTCGTTGGCCTGCACTTTGGTGATGTGAAGCACAGCAGAGTCACGGCTCAGCCGCTCCACATAGATTTCTTCACTGTTCACCCTCTGGGCATACAAGGCGTAGGCATAGTTTGGCTGAGCCGTGCTTACAATGCGGATCTCCCGGTCCGGTGCTGATGTCAGGTACATGGACCACTCAAAATCCTGTTCCACTCCATCTTTGTAGCCTGTCACGTTGCACCAGATAGTCACATGGGAGCCCTCGGTCCGTATCAGTGGCCCAGTCTGCACCGTTACCACTCTCTGGGCCACGGCAACACCGGCTACAGATGAAGGTAAGGAGAGAGAGATGGAGAGGGGGAAAAGAGAGAGTGGATGGTGTGAAGGCAGGGGGAGAGGAAAATGAGAACATGGGTTACAAAACTGTGGTTTAAATATTTAACACTGGCAGAGTTTATGCACCTAACATCTCCCAGGAAATACAGAAACAGCATGACGTGTGCAGCTAAGCATTCCAGAAAGCACTTACTGAAGTTAAGGTGTGCTCATATACAGACACACTCACACAAAACACATGCAGTTTTTGAACACCACCAACCACTTGAAACATTCACAGTAACGCTTTTAAACAGCCATCATCAAATTGTGCCCTCTGCTATTACACGCACTCACATGTTAACCCTACACCACAAGGACAGCACTGCAGCTGTACTACACTGAGGTGAGAGACAGCCATCTGGGAGTAAGGTGAGAGGTTAGTGTGAGCTGGCACAACACAAGTCAGCAGGGCATGTGTGTCAAGCTGTGTAGAGTACAGTTGTTTCTGGATTACACAGACTACGGATTACAGGTGCATCTCAAAAAGTCAGAATATCATAGAAGAGTTCTTTTTTCATAATTTCATTCAAAAAGTGAAACTCTCATATATTGTAGATTCATTACACCTAAGGTGAAATATTTCAAGACAACTTTTGCTTTAATTTCAATGCCTATGGCTTAGGCTCATGAAAATCAAAAATCAGTATCTCAAAATATTTCATTTGGAGTTTGACTAAATTAGATGCCATGTATTGTTTATTTCAGTACATGCAACCACAATCATGGGGAAGGCTGCTGACTTGACAGTTGTGTAGGAGACAATCACTGACACCCTCCACAAGGAGGGTGAGCCACACAAGGTCTTCGCTGAAAGGGCTGGCTGTTCACTGAGTGCTGTACTGAAGCATATTCATGGAATGTTCACTGGAAGGGAAACATGTGGTAGGAAACACAAGCAACAGGGATGGCCGCAGCCTTAAGACGATTGTCAAGCAAATCCAAATCAAGAAGTGGAGTGAGTGCATCAAGAGCCACCACGCACAGATGGCTTCAGGAAATACATTGCTAGTCTCAAGCCACTTCTGAACCAGAGACAACGTCAGAAGCGTCTCAATTGGGCTAAGGAGGAAAAGAACTGGACCGTTGCTCAGTTGTCCCAAAGTCCTCTTTTCTGATGAAAGTAAATTTTGCATTCCATTTGGAAATTAAGGTCCCAGAGTCTGGAGGAAGAGTGGAGAGGCATAGAATCCAAGTTGCTTGACATCCTGTGTGAAATTTACACAGTCGGTGATGGTTTGTGGTGCCAAGTCCTCGGCTGGTGTCGGTCCACTGTGTCTCATCAAATCCACAGTCAATGCAGCTGAATGCCAGGAGATTTTAAAATACTTAATGCTTTCAACTGCTAAGAAGCTTTATGGAGATGCTGATTTCCTTTTCCAGCGGGACTTACCACCTGTCCACAGTGCCAAAACTACCACTAACTGGTTTGCTGACCATGATATTACCGTGCTTGATTGGCCAGCGAACTTGCCTGAACTGAACCCCGCAGAGAATCTAACATTAGAGATGAGTTGAAGGCTGCTATCAAAACAACCTGGTCTTCAATAAGGCCTCAGCAGTGCCACAGGCTGATCGCCTCCATACCGCGCCGCAGCTCAAGCTAAAAGAGCCCCGACCAAATATTGAGTGCATAAATGAACATACTTACATACTGCATTGTAAATCCTTTTTTGATTGCTCTTAGAAAATATTTTAATATTTTTTGATAGTGGCTTTTTTTTAATTTTCATAAGCTGTAAGCCATATTCATGAAAATTTAAACAAAAAATGGCTTTAAATATTTCACTTTATATGCGATGAATCTATAATATATGAGAGTTTCACTTTTTTGATTAAATTATAAAAAGGAAAAAACTTCATGATATTCAAATTTTTTGAAATCCACCTGTAAAAGATAAACCAGCTGGGCGGATATATATGCATATATTTGCTTAGTGCTGATAAACAGGTAGTGTAGATATTGCGGCTGAAATGTAACAAGACATTTCGGTACAGAAACCCCAAACATACTGTATATTTGAGATCGGTTAGAAAAAAGGTGTCACCAGAGTTTTTAGACACATTTTCTACTTTCTAATGATACTACTTAGTTTTATATGAACAGGCTTGCACCAAAACTGGTTATCATTTTGAGAGTCTATCATTTGCATTTTGCAAATAAAAAAAAGGCTTTTGAAATCCAAGAACAAAAGAATGAACTGTAAAAGATTTATTTAAACATAACATGCAATTACTAGACTGAACTATGAACCATGTGCTGACGACTGTAACAATCCAAGAACCGACTGTAGCATTAAATGCACTGTGAAGTTTGGTCATTACTATTCCATATGTTGCTTTGTAGCCTAAATTTAGGCAACCAACATATGTAAAAAATTGCCTCAGCCCATACAAGCACACACACACACCAAACACACAAAGAGCATTCATCATTCAGGGAACACTTACAAACATCCTTCTCACTGGGGCTGGACACAACAGAGCACTTGCAGACACCCCCCAAATCCAGACAGAGTGACAAGTATGCCGTTTCCTGCCCGCACAAGCAACTGGGGATTGCAGCTGTGTTTGTGTGCGAGCGCATGTGTGTGAGAAAGTCTGTAAGAGGCTGTGTCTGTGGGCATAATGCCTGCCATTAATAATTCACCAGAACAGCTTTTTAACTTCAACATCCTCTCTCCCCTCATCGTAACTTTCTCTCACACTTCCACTACACCCTCACCTTTCATTCAGTGTTATTAATGCGAGTCCATTTACACCCATGTACGTGTGTCCATGCGCAAACCTGCATGTGCTTATATGGCTGTGTTACAATAAAAGGTTATCTTGAAAAATGAAGTCACTGCTACAGATTGTGCTCACTGAGCTGGAAAAATGAAGGAACAAGGAAAGAAGGTCCACATTTATAAGCGTTTGCATTTGTGTTATGTGCGCAAACATGCCGTTTGTGTCTTGTCTTACTTATTTCATGAGCTTCAGGTCTGTTGTCCATTGCTTACTTTTCGAGACATCCTAGTGCTAAAATCATTACAGACCTCTCGCTTCAACAGAATTTGAATCCAGTCACAGTGGCATACCTAAATGAAAGCTGATTAAATTGGTCTTCTTAACTTCTCCTGAAGAACCCCCACAGGCCTAATCAAGATTTAAGTTTTTAAACTTTACTCATGAACGCTTCTACTTTAAAAATTAAACTTGCTAACTCTGATTGTAATGAAAAGGGAAAGAAAGTTTTAAAAAGAACAAAAAGCACATTTAGCTCATTGTACATATTACCTATACAGACAGGTGACAAATTAAAGTAAAAACCAAGTGTCTTAGTAAAGTGTTGGGCCACCATGTGCCACCAGAACAGCTTCAGTGCACCTTGGCATTGATTCTACAAGTCTCTGAACTCTACTGGAGGGATGAAGATCATTCTTCCCTCATCTGGTGTTTAGATGATGGTGGTGGTGATGCTGTTGAACACGGCACTCCAATATCTCCCATAGGTGTTCAACTGGGTTGAGATCTGCTGACTGTGGAGGCCATAGCATAATATGATGCACATCATTTTCACACTCATCAAACCATTCAGTGACCCCTGCGACCTTTACAGAAGCATCTGATTTGTTATGCTTCTCCACTCATTTGTTCAGGCTTTTCCCATCTGTATGTCCCTATAGGAAAATGTTACATGGCTTACAGATCAACTGATCCAACTGACAAGCTGAATGTATTTTTAAACGCTTTTGTACTTGTTAATATAAATTCCCAGATACACATTGCTGACATTTTTCATGCAGTCCTACTGAATAATATAAAGCATCTCCTGAGGCTTCCTGTACACAAACATAATAGATGTGATCAATAACAAACTAACCATTCAAGCTAGGTTTGTGCTTTTGTTTACTTATTTGCATACAGAAATGGAACGGAATAAATAAGCTACTTAAGAAGCCAAATACACATTTCCATTTATAAAAAAAGATGACAGGCTGTATATTTCCCCTCACATTTCTGTCAGTGTACTACTGCATTTTTGTTTGTATATCTACTAAATTTTATAAACTGCAGATGAAGTTCTGCTAAACTGTCATGATGTTATCAGTATCTTACGTGACTGGCATATTTTCAGTCTTTTACTACCAATGCACATACTATGTACCTCAGGCTGTGGTACAACATAGTTGCCCTCACGTTTCATCTTTTCAGCAGCTTCACTGTCAAAATTGGGCAACACATTTTAACTGTTTACACATGCATCACAATAGATAATGACCACCTGATGTTGTGAGGACCCTCATCACTTGAGTGCTCCTCATGAGTTGTCTCATGGCCTGGGATCATATTCTGTGTTGTGTTCCTCTTTTAATGCATCTTCGCTGTCAGTTCAGCCTCCTCTCTCCTCCTCATCAGTGTCATGATCAAATATCTGACTGAGAACCTAACATAGGCGCAATCATTTGGTGACCGTGTTGCCATAGAAGTCTGTTCACTCTCAGTGGGTTACATAACTAGAATAAAATAAGCAGCTATAAATACAAAAAAAAAATTTTAAAATATAAAAGTAGCAAATGAGCACAGTGTCTTTATAAGGATGTTAATGAGTTTTCTCTTCTGCAAAATACTGTGAACATGTTAGTAAAAAAATGACTTATGTCCAGCAGTTTAGAAAAGGATGGTGGGGAGGAGCCGCACCTTAAGTCAGTCTCACTGATATGGTCATTTATAATCATGGAACATATTCAACAGTGTATGGATTCATTTTCTAAAAAATAAATAAATAAAAATAAACAGCAGAGACCAATTATCATCACAGTGTCTCCTCATGTTATTCTGAACTATGGCATGTAAAAGCATCGACACAGTCAGGAAGCAAACAAACTATGTGCACATAAAACAGCATTGATCATTATGTACAGTACAGTAGGCGATAGACTCCCACAGTTTGCTAAAAACTCAC